AACGATTCTCTGTTACAGTTGTATTGGATACTGACGATAGCGGAGTGGAAGACACGAGTCCAAACTATTTTAATCTAACCGGCCGGACAACACGACGCTATGCTGTAATACAGTGGCAGAAAGTAACAACCAACCTAGATGAGATCCACGACGGTTTGTACAGATATTCCTATACTCAAAACAGTTAGACAGTGGTCAATCATACTGATCTATGATTGGTCAATATCTGTACAGTCGTAACCGTTCGACCAATCAATTGAGAATAACGCTGATCTGTCTTTCCGGCAAACCTTAGTTTGCATTAATTATCTGGGCCAACGAGACCAACCATTTCTATGGGCATTAGGGGGTCGGTCGATTGGTGAGCTGTGCACGTTCGGGGTTCATGAAATCAATCGGACGTTCAATAGAACAAGTTGGAACAGAACAGAATGCGTCCCAAATGTGCTGAAAAAAATGTAGGTGCAGACAGAAAACAAAATGGCAGAGAAGGAAATAGATGGGAACACTTAGATTGCAGCATATTCTGCTTCCGGTGCCGCTCGATTAAGGCCATCACCTTGGCGGAACCTTAATTCTCCAATCGAGCAAGACCACAGTTTACAGACTTCAGACTTCCTTGCTTTGATATTTTACGTGTATTATAAAAAGATTTATCTCCCTTTACTCAGTCGAAAAGCATTTAATATTTTATACAAATAAATAAACCAAGTACTAACGATCCGAACTGCAAAACGATACCCGAAATCCAAAACAAAATTTTGGCGAAACATTGATAGCAGCCTCTGTTACATCGGTTACGGTTTATAATTATGGAAAAAGACTTCTGTTTGCTTCTATCTTCATGTCACAACATTGTCCAAATAGAACCTAATATGATTAAAGGAACCATTCAATCATAACATCTAATTCCTTGGACCAATATAATCTATTGCAGTATCTTTTTAAAATATTTTTTTAGCAAAACCTGTATTTAAGCCTGCACCAGATTCATTGGTAGTAACGCACAATATGTGCGAAAATCCATTCATCCTGGACACAGTTCTACCGCACACCGCAGACATCCTCTGTGTGGCACCAAATGGCTTCATCACACCCGTCAATCAACCTTGCTCTTCTCGCGCTGTTGGGCGCCGCAGACGATCTCTCCTCAACACCAAAATGTACTTCTGTTTATATCGCCACGATAAGTTGAAGAAAATTAAAACTGTGACTTCCGTTGTGAATCAACTAGGATGGACAAATTTGATCATCGTTCATAACAACGATACAGGTGAGAGGCCATTAGAGTTATTGAAGTATATTGTAAGGTGAGAGGCAATTAGATATGGAAACATGTCGTTAGTGCCGCGTATGCCAGCGTTTAAGATAAATTTGTTGCTCCGCCTTACCCTTGCCCAATCATCATGGTATTAAAGAGCAGGATGGGAATCAGGGAAGGCGTAATGAGATTTCCAGAAGTCATAAAATCGAAACATTTTCAGAATTTGACGTGAATTATATTTTACAATATGAGGATAATAACCATGTCGGTAATGATACCTGGCCTAAACAATTCTATAATTTTCAGAGTTTATTTATTGAATTTCAGAATTTGAGGCCAAGTCTTTGATAGACAGGATACCGAGGAAAATAGTGTTGACTCAGTATAATGTCGATCAGCTACAGAACAAAACCCGAGTTCTTTACAAGTTAATACATGAGATTTACAAAACCACTAACTACGAAGATAGAAATATACTTCTAGTGTGTTCACAAGCTTGTATCAATCGAATACTTGCTCAGGTAAGGTTTCCAATTCCATTGGGATTTGTTGTACATTTATGAGGCTATAGACTTACGGTATTAAATCGAGTTACTATTCTTGGTTGGGATGTGTTATTGTTTTTCAAGTCCGACACATCTGTACTCTCTTTTTTGTGGTTTCGAAGATAGAAAGGGTACTTAATGCAAAATATAACTTTTTCAATTGATAGGAACCAAGTTTAGGTTTCCAAGTCACTTTCTTGACCAAAATCAGCTGGTAAAGTAAATATTTAGATAATTAATATATAGCTGAAATTGAGTTTTATCAGCTGGTATAGTAAATATTTAGATGACTATACAGTTAGCTGGAATTGAGCTCTATCAGCTGGTAAAGTAAATATTTAGATAACTATACAGATAGCTACAATTGAGCTCTATCAGCTGGTTAAGTAAATATTAAGATGACTATACAGATAGCTGTAATTGAGCTCTATCGGCTGGTAAAGTAAAAATTTAGGTGACTATACAGAAAGCTGAAATTGAGCTCTATCAGCTGGTAAAGTAAATATTTAGATGACTATACAGATAGCTGTAATTGGGCTAATAAATATTTAGAATATACAGATAGCTGAAATTGAGCTCTATCAGCTGGTAAAGTTATTATTTTTGGCGAATCTATTCTTTATTTGATTCAAGGCTTTATTTATACTTCTGTTTGACTGTGACAGTGTGTTTTCTAGGCCAACAGCTTTGACAAGAGAAACAGTGGAGCTACAGCTATGGGTGTCTTCTCTAAATGGTTGGTTGTAGATTTTAACAGTAGAACAATACTCAATAATCCCTGTGATCTAAATATAGATAATGTCGCTGTCATCAACTTTCCTTTTACTGATGTCACAACCTCGCTTCTAAAAACTGTAAGTTTGACTGTTGACCTTTGACCACTCATTGTCCAATCAGCAGTCTTGTTCTGTATAATAGCCAACTGAGCTTCGTCTGTACATAAATACACACACATCAATCTATAATACAAATCGTCAAGCAGCCTGACGGTGGCTCACATACGACATATTTCACTTTTAATTTTGAATCAAAACCTTAAATTTTCACCTACGTGATAATTATTTTTACCAAGGTGTAAATTAAAGTTTTTAAATAAAAATTACACGAATTATCACCTGGGTGAAAATTAAAGTTTTTAATTCAAAATAAAAAGTGGAAAATGTCGTATGTGAGCCACCGTAGTCTGAGGATAAGTGGTAAGTATCGTTATGCACCTTGGGTAAGAATAATATCTTTTGAACTCCTATAAAACTTCCTTTCAGAGTTTAATTCAGAGTCTACAAGGAAGAATAAACGAAGTTATTGATGAATATTTAGATTTGGATATATTTAATGTTACTGAATTTGTTCACGACGCTTTACTAGATGTGAGTATTTTAGGTCTAGAGGGATAATCAATCAGTAGCGATGCCAGCCTCCCGATACCGGGTGTACAAATCGGGGACAGGCAGACAAGGCTGAATTCAAAATGCGACGACCATGTCGATGTGTCAAAGCCTCTCTTAGGCCGTCTGAGGGGATTCCCCAGGAAATATTCTGGAAGTTAAGTGTGTCTATTTTAAATGTAAAATCACTGAACCTTATATTTCTATTGATCCGAAGACAATGGCATACAATTTAAAATTTTATTCAGAATATTTATGAAATGAGCCTAATAAATAGAGTCAGAGAGTAAGATGACTGTCGCTTGGATTTCAGGACCTTCACAATGACACTGATTGCTGGAAAGCGGAAATACTTACGTTACTATGGAAACCAAATGGTCGTCTGCTGAGCCCAGTTGGTCACGTGGGATCTTCAGAGGAAGTGGAACTCTTTGATAACGTCATTATTTTCCCCAACACAAAATTTGGTTTCAATAAACGTGTTTTTTTAACGACTACTAACGAGGTATGGAGTAAAATTAATCATTCCTACTTCAGGAAGAGGAACCCCACCCCAAAATCAGGGGAGCATATATCCCTGACCGACTAGCGCTACTTTATATTTATCTCAATCTAGTTTTTAAAAAAGACTAGAACTGTAAACAGCTCCGAGCGTGGCGACGAGACCATATCCCATGGCTTTTGGGTCTTTTCAAAATTCTAAACTGTTAGCTTTCAACCCCGGTGCTTTGACGTCTACAATTTGTGAACAAGAAACCAATGGAAGCCTGTAATGTTGGTTTCCTTAACAGTAATGACGAATTGTGGGATGGCAAAACCCAAAGTAGAGCAATATGACAGTTTCGTTGATTGTTCTATATAAATTACAGATGTTTTTCTTGCTTCAAGGCCTAAAAAAAAAAGAATTTTGTCACCAGGACCATTTCTATCTGCTGTACACTGACATGTTTTATTAACTGCCATTCCCCCCTCCCCCCACAATCATATTTACCTGCTCGTCTTTGACTGCAAATCAAAGGAATACCATCCAATCCTTCAACGATCTTTATAAATAAGAGGGACTAAAAAAGGTGGGACTAAAACTCTTCAAGTTCTCATGGAATACAAGAACAACAGATGTCGAACGGGCAGTCACAATGGCCAAATGGAAATAGAAGATTGCTTCATACACACAAAGACTAGAAAACCTCTTCAATTTTACAACAATTTATTTTTTACAGTGGAAGCCGTTCACAAGACGATTGGAGAAAGTCAATGGCACAGTGAAATTTGAAGGTTATTCTTTTGACTATCTGGATGTCATCGCTGCAGCCTTAAATTTTACGTAAGTCATACCAAAACGTTACAAAGTCTGCCTTCAACTCAGTGGCATTTCTAAGAAATATCAGGTGAGGGGCCGCTCAGGAGTCACAAAATTGTTTATAGGGGGCCACAGGCCATTCTTTCACTATGTAAATTTTGAAAGTAGGGTGGCAAAGCCGGGTCATTCTCTTTTCTTTAGGAAGGCCCCGGCCCCCGCCTACCCCCTGCTTATATTGGTATTTGTTATTATAGTTGAAGAATCGCTGCAGCTATAAATGAGTTAAGATAATCATATCGAAACACAATCTGTTAGTTTGCTCTATTTTAGATTTCGCTATCCAAAAATCGACATTTTTATCAAGAAAAGAGTCCTACATTACATGCTTTGATTGGTTAAAATAAGGCCATTAGAACGCGTAAGATTACAATGGAGACGAAAAATATCAGAAAATATAAAAACCAAATAGTAATTTAATTTAAAATAGATCGCATTCTCAGAAATGTATTTCAATAATTTTGTTTTTCAGTTATGTTCTGACTGAACCGGAAGACGGGGATTGGGGCATCATAAAAAATGGATCATGGACCGGTGTCGTTGGTCAGCTGCACCGGAGGGTAGGTACTGAATTTGGGCAGAAGTATAAGGCTGGAAAGGGTGGGGGTAACTTGTTTTTTGTTTTCAATTTAGATTTTGAGTAACAGGATGAGATGTCGACTCTTGCAACACTCTACATCAATTCTCACACGGTTTGTAACCTTGTGCAAGAACGAAGATGTGTCTGATTTTAAGCTCTGTTTTTAATATTCCAGGAGGTTGATTTATTCGCTGGTCCTTTAGCCATGTCGTCAGATAGAGAGGACGCTGTAGACTTTACCTTTCCATACTTCCATGTTTACACTTCCGTTATCTTCAGACGACCAGATCCTAATAAAACAAAATGGCGGAAGTTGATTGATCCTTTTAAATGGGAGGTTCATGTGTGTATCTTCGCCTCGTTTCTCTGTATCGTGATAATGCTGTATTCTATAGAGAGGATGAACCCGTACTATACTGTACAACTTGACGAACGTCCCACCATACAGGGATTGTTTCTCTATCTGTTTGGGGCTTTATTGGCCCAAGGTAATCTCGTTTATTTACTTAATATGTAATCTCTCTCCATCAAGGGAGATAACTACAATTATGCATATTGGATCTTTAAGTTTCAAACGACTTGTCATAATAACTGAATTATTTTGATTAAACGGATGTGGATTTACAACCAATCAGATTCAATACCCACTGTAGCCTCGGCCAGTTACAAAGTTTTTTCCAGGCCGTCTTTCATCAAAGCTGTACGTGGACAAAGAGGCACTTGATGATAGAGGCTACTTAATGAGGGGGTCAGAAGAGGGCCACACTCCTTTCGTTTCAGTTGTTATCATTGAGTTCTTAAACGCGTGTTACAGTTAGTCCCCATGACAATTCTGTGGTCCATCCACCATAGAACTGTGATATATTACATATATTAATCTAATACAGTTCTATCCCTCCACCTATTGTCACGATAGTTTAGATCAATGGTGGCTCTACACTTCTAAATGACAAAAGAAGTTGATCAGAATGGATACAATTTACGAGTAATACAGCTTCATGAAGTATCATGTCGTCGTTCGCCTTACATCCGAGAAAAATCAACTCCTTTTCTTCCAAAATCTTCAGATTTGATCAATACTTAGAAAACATTTAAACTTGATGATTTTTATTTTCGATGTTAAATTACATTTTAGTTTTAATATTATCTATCATTTTAAAGATGGTGTTTCTAATGAATTATCATATATTCTTAATCTTATCATTATGTTCTTATTGCATATAATTAAGAGTTTTAACCAATCAAAAATGTTCATGTATGTACAGTCTAGATAAACAAAAAAAAAATTTTTGATCTTTCTTGATCGGTCACTCATTGGAATTCTGCTGGTAATTCTCTTGACTTCTAATTTAGCTAATTATGAATTAATTATGGACATGTGAGACAAACTGATATTTTTCCAAGTCATTAGAACACCCCTACTTTCCATTCATATAAGTATTAGCATTTTCATTTTCATAAATAAAAATAAGGGAACCCATCTTTAAAACATCTAGCTAAAATATGTGACTACAGATTCAATTATTTCGTTCCACCAGTGTTATTTACCAGACATCTATAATATATACAGTTATCAGAGAGATTTAAATGATATTTATCAAACAATAAATCTATTAGTTAAAATGATTTGATCTGTACTTGTTTAAACATCTAGGTCTATTAAATAATACAAAACTAAACCTGTCTTTGTGTCAGTAGCCACCCCATCCTGTAGGACAGGGGGGTTCAACCTTGTTCTTTCTATTACCCCTTTTAGCGTCTTTGATTGCATTCAACCCACAGGAACTCTGCCACACTTCGTATTATCAATGTCAATAAAAATCTGTACAAGCAAAACAATTCAGTTAATCAAAATCTCGTCATAAACATGACAAAATCAAAGTAAATATTGTAGTAGTGGACTCCTCCAAAGAGAAGTACCATCAGGTGAAAGCTATTACAAACTTTGTCTTATACCTTGACTGCATACCTTTATTGTATCACGGAGGGAATGCAGATAGACTTTTTCTAGAGGACTCTGATTGGCTGTTTTCGATAACAAATCACCATATTAAGTTACCATCAATAAAGTTTGCTATTACAGTCAAGGTATAAGACGGAGTTCGTAATAGCCTGATTTGAAGATGACCACACTACAGTTCTATGATCTGATGTGATAATTTTAGTTATTTTCCCATTGTAGGTGGATCTAGCATGCCGTCATCCATTGCCGGACGATCGTTACTAGCGTCATGGTGGATCTTTTGTCTGATAACCGTAGCTACATACAGTGGGAACCTGATAGCCTTTTTGACCGTGTCTAAAGAGAAGCTGCCGTTTGAAACACTGGAGGAACTGGGTAACCAAGAAGATTTTTCCTGGGGAACACTAGGTGGTAGTATTTGGGTTTCACTGATAAAGGTGAGAGGGCCTTCTCTAATTCAATTATTATCTGTCTAAACGAATAGTCCGAAATGGCTGCTTCTATCTCAGCCTTTCCCGTCTGCATTAGTCCACATGGTGCAGAAAGGTAGGACGTAAAACTCCATTCATTTAATTTCATTTTTATTCCAGCCTTTGATAGATATTGTGACAGTTATCGGACTACACCAGCCGACAATTTTTAAAATTGCAATCAGAGGCTTGAATCGAAGCAGTTGTCTACTTAACGAAACGCTTGTTTGTCTTATTATTTTGACCTATATGGTAGTTGAGGGTGTCGGGTGTGAAGCAGACCATGCTTTCTTTTTCCGAAACTCCTGATGGTACTTCTTGTTTGAATACAAGTATTATTGCTCCTGATTTTGTCTTGCTTCGGACGAGATTTTTGTAATTGTTTTACTTGTACGGAATTTCACTCTATTTTCAGCCCTATTTGATTGACTTCATGTCGTTTTTTGTATTCTCTTTTCGTTTTTTTGATTTTCGTTTCGATGAAATGAGATATAATGAAAGTTAGAACGACGATATGGCATTACGCTATACATGTATATAGAAACATGTATTGAATTTTAAAGGAGTTCAACATCCAAATTTTTACTTTTAGAACAACGGCATGCAGTGTACAATGGAAGAACTTCTCTCCAGAAAACACCTTCATAATCATTTTAATATTTTGGCTTTACCTTTTACAGTAACAATCATTTCAGGAATCCAACTTAACAGTATTCAAAAAATTATGGGCGGGGTTAAACGAATTCAACAAATCAGATCCACGTATATTTAGTCTCGATCAAGAAGTGCATAAAGAAAAAGTAATTGGAGAAGACTATGGGTTTATAGCTGATAAAACGACAGCAGAGACCTGGATATTCGAGAATTGTCAGTTAACCGATTTAAAGGAGCTGTTTTTTCCCATGAATTATGCCTTTGCTCTTCAGGACAATTCTCCATATCTACAATATTTCAACGATGAGTAAGTAAGCTCTCAAACTTCCAGAAACTTGCACTGTGTGCTATCTTTTTAACAACTAGCTAGGTAATCTCAATCATATCACACTGCAATATATATCACGATATAAGGGCTGCGATACGATATGTATCACGATATAAGGAATGTGATAACATGAATATCAAGATATAAGGGCTGTGATAAAATGAATATCACGATATAAGGGATACGATATGTATCACGATATAAAGGTTGCGATACGATACGTATCACGATATAAGGGTGCGATACGATATGTATCACGATATAAGGGTTGTGATATGATACGTATTACGATATAAGTGTTGCGATATGATACGTATTACGATATAAGGTTTGCGATATCATATGTATCACGGTATAAGGGTTACGATACGATGCGTATCACGATATAAGTGTTGGGATATGATACATATTACGATATAAGGGCTGCGATACGATACGTATCACGATATAAGGGTGCGATACGATATGTATCACGATATAAGGGTTGCGATATGATACGTATTACGATATAAATGTTGCAATATAATACGTATTACGATATACGGTTTGCGATACGATAAGTATCACGGTATAAGGGTTGCGATACGATGCGTATCACGATATAAGTGTTGCGATATGATATGTATTACGATATAAGGGCTGCGATACGATACGTATCACTATATAAAGGATACGATATGATACGTATTACGATATAAGGGCTGCGATACGATACGTATCACGGTATAAGGTTTGCGATATGATATGTATTACGATATAAGTGTTGCAATATGATACGTATTACGATATAAAGGCTGCGATACGATATGTATTACGATATAAGTGTTGCGATATGATACGTATTACGATATAAGGCTGCGATACGATACGTATTACGATATAACGGATACGATACGTATCACGATATAAGGATGCGATACAGTGCGTATCACGATATAAGGGCTACGATTCGATACGTATCACGATATAAGGGCTACGATTCGATACGTATCACGATATAAGGGTTACGATACGATAAGTGTGTGGCATCTTCATACAAACAGGAATTGTTGCTACATTATAAAAAAAATCTTGGGCTGTTCCTTTAATCATAAGGTTTTTGACATTAAAGATGTTTTCCCACTTTTGTTTTTATCGAATCATTCATTGTTCTGTTTTACAGGGTGATGAAAATATACGAAAGTGGTTTGGGTCAGACTTTGAAAAGAAAATGGTGGCCGAAACAGAACATCTGTCTAGAGCCAGCAACAGTGGCCAAGAAAATAAACCTTGTAGACTTACAGAGCGCCTTCTACGTCATAGGAATCGGAATATTCATAGCGTTATTATCCGTGTTAGTTGAACGATGCTTTACTCGGGCAGAAACCGGACGTCATGTTCTGAAATTCAAGTTCTTACGAATTTTATTCGTGAAAAAGAAAAGAGTTGATGAAAGATATGGATAATCGAGACTAAATATGGATGGTCTTGATCAAGCACAATGAAATAAGTTGGTGCTGATCTTTAGTGTTAGTAGTAATGTCATGTTGTTGATCGGAATAATGCTCTGTAGAGGTGGTACTAGTCTCTAGAGGTTAGAGGGTACAACTAGGGGGTAGACTGACTCAATGAAAGACAACTGTCGAGGCTGAGGTTGAGGTGTCATAGTTGCAAGCCTGTTGCAAGCCTGTTTGGTGCGTTCTGACACATATTGTGTCTGCCGGTGCAGACACTTTTCTTGGTGGTTGGAGGAGGGAGCAATATCGGTCCATATCATAATGACTTTCAACAGACTAGTCGACTCCATAGGAAATCTGTTTCTGTATTCAACACTCGTACTGACCACTAGCTGATATGTCTACTGGTGCCTCCGCAAATTAACAATATGCAGAAACATTGTAAATTGGACGCTTGTCAAACCTGATTTTCTCTGATGTTTTTGTTTACATTATTAAGTGCGTGAAAGTATATATATGTATATATTATACAACCAAATAGTCCGAAACATCTGTCTCTATTCCAGCCTCTGATAAGTATTTTGAAAGTTGTCCGCTGGTGTCGCCGATAATGTCAAAATATCCATCAGAGGCTAGAATAGTTAGAGACCAAACTTGCATTCAGCTTTTTTTTTAAATTTAGCCACTTCAGTTAGGGTCTAACGACAGTCCTCGTCAACGTCCGTCAGTTTAATGATAACACCAGCCGAGCAAATTTCTGCCATCTGCAACGCTGGGATTTTGTGATGCGAACAAAAAGGGTATTCCGAGAAGCATTAGACACTCAATGCACCTTTTGTTCGCGTCACAAAATCGAATCGTTACATAGGGCAGAAATTTGATTGGCTTACGGTGTCATATTCAAGAGAGTCGTTTTTATAGTAGACCCTAACTAAAGTGTCTAAACTGAAAATAAAGTTAATAAAAAACGTAATGAAAATTTAGTTTAATGTTAATCAAACTGATTAGTGGGTGTTATTTCCATGTAAGAACAGTGTGTAGTTTGGTATGATTACTCTAGTGTAACGGGTATGAATAATCAAAATCGATGAAGAGTAATTTGACAAGGATCAGCTGATAGACAGTTTGTATAACCTAGGTGGCTGTTTTTTGTTTTTTTTTTACGGAATTATGATTTTTAAGCTGTTTAAAGACACACGTATACTGTAGTGCACTATATACTTTACTACTACAACTACTGAAACAGCTTCAGCAACTCTGTCGTATACCGAGTAATATCTATTTGAAAGGTCTCTAGATAGGATGATGAGTAGAATAAGGAAATTGTTGCGTCTAATTGTAATAATTGTTGTGGGGACTATATTATTGAAAGTTTTGAACAATAAAAAGTTTTTCAGGTTCACTTCTCAAGTAAGTTTTTTTTTCTTTTGTAAATTTCCTTTTGTTCTTACTGAAATTATATGGTTTGAGAATATTGCTAGAGGTTAATGGCGTTTTATAAATCAGAACCACAGAAAGGGCGTCATTTTCATTACTCTAGCATGCTGTTTATTGACGTGGCGTTTTATAAATCAGAACCACAGAATTGACATTGTTTTCATTACCCTACCATGTTGTTAGTTGACAGTGGCGTTTCCTAAATCTGTAGAAACCTTTTCTGGTATATCAGATAAGATTCTAGTATAAAACATTTAAAAAATCAATTGATATACGAAATGTCTTATTTAGGTTAAAGAAAAATCACAACTACGGAAAAATGAAACTACACTACCACAACTACAACTACGACCGGGGGAAACGGGGCCTCAATCATTACAACTACTACCAAAGAAAATTCACAGAATGAAGATCTATGTGTACACGGCGGTTGCTGTTGATATTACAGGTGGTAAAACTGACATCAGAATACAAGCTTTCAGGCATTTCAAGGAAAAGAAAACTTTGAAATGCTGCTTTGAAAATAAGCATGGTGTAAACGTGACAGTAGACGCAACGATTAAATATGCGTATAATTTTTTTGAATATGTAAGTACAGCCTTAAACTGTGTCGTCGACAGTTGGGATGTTCCTCAAACCATTTCATTAGGTCACAAGTGTAGTTTGGATCATAGAATTGTGCTTGAAGTTACTAAACCCGAGAAGCCTAAAGGATCCATATCAGTTTGTGTCCATGCTTTATATGGATTCCCCGATCCTCAAATGATGACGGAGTGGTTCGAATTCGTCAAGTTACAAGGTGTTGGGCGAGTTTTTATCTACCCTGTCAATCACGAAAACTTTCTGGATGTGAGATCAATGAGAGTTCTAGAATTTTATAAAAATCAGGGTTTAATCAACCTAATACCGTATGAATTAAGACAATATTCAGTCAGTAAGTACTCAATCATTCCTTCCATAATTATTATTTAATAATTCATTTCATTTCGCTTAAAACTAAGAAAAAAAGAAATTTCATTATCTGTAGACATTATTCTATATCATTATCTTACACATTATTCTATATCATTATCTTACACATTATTCTATATCATTATCTGTACACATTATTCTATATCATCATCTGTACACATTATTCTATATAATTATCTGTACACATTATTCTATATCATTATCTGTACACATTATTCTATTACATTATCTGTACACATTATTCTATATCATTATCTTACACATTATTCTATATCATTATCTTACACATTATTCTATATCATTATCTGTACACATTATTCTATATCATTATCTGTACACATTATTCTATATCATATTATTCTATTACATTATCTGTACACATCATTATTATTCTATTACATTATCTGTACACATTATTCTATTACATTATCTGTACACATTATTCTATATCATTATCTGTACAAATTATTCTATACATTATCTGTACACATTATTCTATATCATTATCTAACACATTATTCTATATCATTATCTGTACACATTATTCTATATCATTATCTTACACATTATTCTATATCATTATCTGTACACATTATCTGTACACATTATTCTATATCATTATCTGTACACATTATTCTATATCATTATCTGTACACATTATTCTATATCATTTTCTTACACATTATTCTATATCAGTATCTTACACATTATTCTATATCATTATATGTACACATTATTCTATATCATTATCTTACACATTATTCTATATCAGTATCTGTACACATTATTCTATATCATTATCTGTACACATTATTCTATATAATTATCTGTACACATTATTCTATATCATTATCTGTACACATTATTCTATATCATTATCTGTACACATTATTCTTGATCATTATCTGTACACATTATTCTATATCATTATCTGTACACATTATTCTATATCATTATCTGTACACATTATTCTATATCATTATCTGTACACATTATTCTATATCATTATCTTACACATTATTCTATATCATTATCTGTACACATTATTCTATATCATTATCTGTACACAGTATTCTATATCATTATGTTACACATTATTCTATATCATTATCTGTACACATTATTCTATATCATTATCTGTACACATTATTCTATATCATTATCTGTACACAGTATTCTATTTTATTACAATCTGTCTTTAGTTTATTTCAATTTATTCATTTTTGGAAGTAATTTATTTATCATATTTTTTTTAGACAGAACGAGATTTAAAGTGAGAAATTTTGAGATATATTCTGATGAAATATTACCAGTATTTGATGGTATGGTCCGCTCGTCTCTCTATAAATATACAGCTTTTATCGACTTTGATGAAGTTATTATGTTTAATTCCAATCCTTTAGATCTGGTAGGAAATTTAGATGTAGGTATTTATTTTATATTTTTATCAATTTTTATATTATTTATAAAAGTATCTGAAATGAGATATAGTTTTAAGTGTTACACATCTAATCGACCCAATAAATATACGAACGCCATGCAGTGTACATTATGGAAAACTTTGCCAGAACATTGACTCTTCCAGCTGTTGATGTAGATGTTATCACACGAGTCCCATACAAGAGTCGAGCAAAAATCGATATAAGATTGAAAGGACTTTGTTTTGTGTAATTGTTCTGGTTTTTCGTTGAACCGTTTTATATTTTATATTCCTTTAATCTTTTATTAAAATAACATTTTATATATTACTGTGGTAGAAAATGTTAAAGAAGAAACCGACAGTTGGAATAATTGTGTTTAAAATAGAATCGTTTGTAATGAACTGGACTGCTACCTATGATTCTGACCTGATAATGATAAAGTACCTCAATAGAACAGAAGCTCTCACAGACAGGAAGAAAATGGTGTACGTACAGGGACGATACAAAAACATAGACCCCCATCGACATTATCCTAAGACTGGATTCCAGGGGTAATACTAAGTTTATTCAAATTTAAAGTCCAAAATTTTGAATGACTGAAGGAGCATCTTATTCTACATTCAAAAATTCTATATGTTGAACGAAACAAATCCACAAACGTGGTATTTCAGTAGAGCAAGACTACAATACATAACCAGTAATGACGTATGACTTGCACTGCAACATACCTTGATTTTGAATCTTACATATTAATTGTTAGTAGAAGATGGTCTTCCTTCACCACAATTGTTACAAGATATTCGTTCTTTAAGCCAGCCAACAAGAGTAAAATCTGTCCCTCAATTGTAAGACTGGTACCTCAGAAGAAAGAACCTGCTAAGAGTTGGGAGGTTATTTTTGAAGTATAATCAACTAGCAATATCCTAGAGCATGCCGCCATAGGTTTATAACTAAAGTATATAACTATAGATCAAGGCAAGGATGATGTGATTATTTACATTGTTTGCAGGTTTGTTGTTCCAGAATCGACTGCGACTATTCATCACTATCGTTTTTGTCGAGTGGGTTGGTCTGACGAGTATTGTTTAAAAACACCTAGATATCGAGATGATGCTATGTTAAAATTTGAGTCTATTTTAAATGAAAAAGTAAAACTAGTACCAGAAAATATAAGAAAAAGATTTAGGGGGTGAAGTTTTGTTGTTTGTATTTATTGATGTATAGAAGTGGTTAAATGGACAGCTTCAGAATTACAAAAATGTACAAAAATCGCATAATTCCTTCAAAAATACATCAAACTAGAAATTTTACTTTTTATTTCTATATATGTTTTTTCTATATAAAAACGAGGTGTCATTTTAACATTTGAAGGTGAATACTTCAGGGCATACAGATATTAGGCTGAATTTTGACGGTGAGCTGTAAACGCTATCACTTATTGAATAAATATTTAAAATATAAAAAAGAAGCATGCTAGCTAACCTGATAGTCCAGGGTGCAATCTCGATAGAGGTCGAGATAGATACCTTCTGATATTTTAACCCAGTTTCCGCCTGTCAGTGATGCAGATCAGAGGGACTGTTAGGTCGGATGAGATAATAGGCCTTCTAAAATAAATCCTCTAGACCAAAAAGGGCGGAAACAATAGTTTCTTGTTTTGTTACATCCGGATTAGAGACAGTATCAACTTTCTGTGCGGCTTGTGATAGTGTGTAGGATCAGTGGCTCAACTACCATAGCGAATAAACCACGCCCACGACTCCACCCAACCATACCTTTACGGGTGCCCCGATCCCCATCAAAAAGTATAAAATTAAACAAAACAAATGTACAATCTGGCGTGGGCGCTTTATGAATAAATTTTATAAATGATAAGAGTAATTATTACTGTTTTAAAACATTATGAAATGAAGAGATTCGATATAAATATCAGTGGTATGTACTATCTATCTGTAAGCATACCAAATTAAGAAACACTCATCAATTTGTGAAATTCCGCCATTTCCGAGGATATAGAACATGGGTTTTCAAAGCCTAAGCTAGTATTTTTAAATTTGTAATCAATCAAAGAACCTGAGAGGCCTGAAGAAAAAGAAAAGGGTTGAAAACCTCTGATATAGGACGTGATATGGGACGTAACTCTGCTGATTATATTACATTCGTATAAACCAGTAGGTTTACCTCCTGAAATTAGGTTATGAGATATTTAAAGGTAGGTATTCCAACAATTTGGGGATGAAGGGGGTGGGCGAGGGTCATGGTGCCCCTTGGAGAAAAATAAATGAAAACTTCAATCTGCTCGAAATCGACTTATATGTATTTTTAGCCTTTCTGACCCCATGATGACCTCTAAAATTCGCCGGTGAACCCTACAACCCCCCCCCCCTCCCCATACCCCCTTCAACCCATCTATGCAATCACCGCTACGCCACTGTATAAATTCTGTACAATGCTGATTTTGTATCACGAAATGAAACCATTGAATTGGGTTGTAGGCTACAGGCAGATATTTTCTACATACGCCACTGTCTGCAGTACGTATGTTTGAACTTTGATCATTTAGATAGTTTTTAAGCTTCCTGTTTTTTTTTCATTGGGTGACATTTTCAATGTTTTAAAACGATTATGAAACTTGTAATCAGTCTTCTTAGAAATATCAACCGGATACAATAAACCACACCAAAAAACAGAAAATGAAATTTAGTCGTTCTTAGATAACGTAATGAACTAATCACCTTATCTCGATATTTAAACAAAATTACACAAAAAAACCTCGGAAACGTAATTGCGTTTATTAAATCTTATAAAGAAATGGCAGAAAAGAGGGAAAAAAAGTAAAATATGAAATGAAATCTGCAATTTATTCTATAAAAAGTGGAAATGAAATTAAGAAATTCGACTAGAAAATGATTATCTTTGCACATTTGAATAAAAACCTTAATTTTGAAATTTTTATATTTTTAAAACATTTTATATTGCTATATAAAGAAAAGCAAATTCTCTCCATAGAATCTTTTTCACGGATGTTTTTCAGGAAGTACAAATTTGTCTTTAAAAACAAAGGATAAAATTGAAAACATTTTTGCAGGTGAGATATTTTTGTTTCAAGACGATTATTCAAACTTCCGAATAAGTCGTTTTATTTCGCTCAAAAGAAAAGTCCAAAAGATCGTCACATTTATTAACATGTCGGCTATCCCAGTCGCTAATTGTCAAAATATCTATCTGAGACTAGATTCGAGGCAGATGGCTATATTATAATTTGATTATCACACATTATTTACATGTAAATTCAAGAATCAGAATCAAATTAGTAATAATAGTAAGTTTTTGATTTTAATATTTCAGTACTGAATCTTACGTATAGTAACTTTAATACTATGTAATTCAAGTGGAATCGGTCACTTGATAGCTACATGCTATTAGTCTGACATATCGTTACTCTAACTTCTTTCTCTAACACCCAATGATCAGTAGGTTCAATTTATAGTTTAATTGACAGTTTATAACACCAAATTTTAGGTTTGGCTAATTAAAGGGGTATTCCGCTTTTTTTGTAAAAAGTTTTCATTTTCAAAAACATCAGTAAATTATACCTGAAAATACTTCTAAATTATGCTTTTTATATCTATGTATCTACTCGATCAAACTGAATTTGTTTTACGTAGGAGATATATTTCTCTACAATTAGGCGTTTATTTTACCCAAATCCGTACAGTGGTTTTCTAACAGCCTCCAAAAGGCATAACGAACTTAAAAACCTTACGTAATGTTTTAAAATATTTTTTGGCCTTTAAAACTTAACGGCTGGATTTTTTTTAGTTAAAACTTTAAGATATGTTAAAAGGCACATTTCCCTAGAAATATTCGGTAGGAATTCAAACTGTTCCGGTTGTTGATTTCAGATCGATCTTGCAACTGACGTTAGTTCCGTACGTATTTAAAGACTGTCGAGAGTTGTCATATATTTCTAGATTTGGCAGATATTTCTCGCTATTTGATTTGATTCGCAGATCGTCGTGATAAATTTTTTATTTGGCCAATCATAGGAAATATTGGATCGCAAAAGGAATCATTGTGACTCGTAAATTGCGATGCGATACCGCTTGTATTGAACCCGGTCAATGCTATATACAGTATATTTATGTCAAAGTGCATGTGTGTTCAGGATTATTTGAAAGTTGAAATGACGACTCGCCTTTCTGGAACTACGCCATATATAGAAAATATACAGTGTATATATAAAAATAGAAAGTGAAATGTCAAGTTTGAGGTATATTTGAAGGGATTATGCGATTTTCCTGCAATTCTAGTACTTCTATAACTATATTCAAGACCCAAAGTCAACCCCCAAAAATGACATGGCATTTAATTCCATGTCTCAAAATCTGGCATATACAGTGTAGTCGTGTAGATAGTAGCTTTAACACAATAAAAAGAGTATAAAAAGTTATATCTTAACGTTAACACCACCATTCTGGCCTAAACAAGAGTAGCGACATGTAAAACTCTGATTAAGTTATTGTGTGAACTGATTGATTGAAATCTATAGTTGACGAGTCTTTTCTTGACAGTATGTTATTTCTATTGTCTAACCGTGTGGGAGGTATCACCTATACACTGCTATAACACTAGCTTTAATTGGACGAACAATCACCACTACTTCTGTTACCTTTATTTATCGAATAGCCACAACTTAAATTTTTGAAACGTTGTATGAAATTAAACTGAGGAGTAGTATACTATATAAACTGATGATGATATGTAAATTGTTGAAACGTTGTATACAATAAAACTAAGGAGTAGTATACC